GGTTTCCTATGTAATGTTTTTAGTTTTTAATAATTTACAACCTTTATTTATTATATTTTAATTTATTTATACAGTGAAATGTTTAACTCATTAATTAATTATACAACGAGAAAAATACATTTATACTCGGGTTTGGAATATGTATTTACAGTAAGTTTTTAAAATTATTTTTATGGCTATGTAAAAAATTTTAACTTATACGATAACTTATCTTGTTTATTATTGTTACTTTTTAGTATGTGGTAGTAGTACTGCTGATGAGGGGCATGCTAGCCCGAAACACGTGTAATATGTGTACAGAAACTATTACTACAAGTGATATAATAAAGAAATTTTGCTATTTCCTGAACTAACTAATTGCTGTTTCAATCTTTAAACACCAGTATTAAGTCCTAGTAATAATGTCCAAGTAGATAATTAACAATAATATTAGAATTTAAAAAGGACAGTAAGGCTTTTACAATTAAATAGAAATTATTTATTATAATATAAATGATCATTGTATATTAATATATTATGGTATAAACTATATAATATGTACTTTAAATACTATACCAGATTTAAACTGAAGGTGTCCTATTAGGAATTTTTAAAAAGACATTGCCAAATTAAAAGTGTTTCACAAAATAACGGTTATATTTACAATTAATGATTTTAATTAATTTAATTCAAATAGTAATTTGTAGAAATTTTGCCGAAAATGAAAACAACAATGCACAGAAATAATGTTACAGAATTTCATTGTTGTCCGAGAATAATATAAGCCTAAATGCGCCTGATTTAAACACTATTATTGCGTTTAAATCAGGCGCATTTAATTATTCTCGGAAACCAATCTTCAGGAAACCACAAATATAATTAAATTTAATTCCTGTTATCTCATGAGACTTTTGGCTGATTTTATATATTTTATTCATCACGTTCAGATTATTCGTCATATTTTCAAATGTATAATAAAAATTACTCGTCGTTATGAATGAGAATATTAACTGTAAGAAACATAATTTCGATGAATGATTCTCTTATTAATTTACTTTTTTGTATTAAAATTCTGTATTATTAGAGATTATCATAGATTATTAATTACACTGATGAATTTATTATGGGTAACGTCTCTTCCATTCTATAAATGTTTCCAGGCGATCAATTAAAAAAATTAAATAAGGAGAACGGTAGGTCGAAGAAAAAGAAAGAAAAAAAAAAGCAAATGACGGAAATACCCGTATTTTACTTGGGTGAGGTGTATATCTTTAGTTTTTTAATAAAATGTGAAATGGGAAAGACATATAATGTTTTAATTCCATTATAGTAAAGTTCGATTTGTTGAGCCGTTCTTTTGTTCTCTCGCCTACTTGACGGCTTGCCTCTACCGAGCGTTATGATATGTAAATTGCTTAATTCTAATACACGAAATTCTATATAAATCACTTTATCTAAACATAAATTAGTTTGCTTCATTTAAATTTAACGCGTGAGAGCGAGTTTACACCGATCTAAATATTAACATACTACCTTCCCAGTTCTTTCCGATTCTTGTATTTGGAACATTCAGTAATCGTTGCTTCTAAAGATGCGCTCTTTCCACACGATCAACATTTTCGAGCAGTCTTCTTCTCTTTTCAGTGGCGTACCGTAGTGGGGGCGGCAGGGGCGGCACTTTTTAGGGGGCGGCAAAATAATACAATAAATAATAATAATATTTTGTAAAAATTTGAAACATCCTAATGTATACTAGCATCGCGCCTACGATAGTGCTATTGTCCAGACAGTCCGGGAATCGGCTCGCCGTCTGGGTGAACTACTAATTTTTTCATCGGAGGAAATCCTACGAAACCTGTTGGTCTTTTTTTTGCTTGTACGATTCATTCGCGTTTATATACACCACTAATATCCAATACAACTACTTTAAACAGGTCGTTGCAATTTTTCATTGCTTGTTCTGTGACAAAACTGAATTTTGGTCTTTTAAATTGACACACCTAAATAAGTGGGGGGCGAAATTTTCCTTCGCCCCGGGCGGCTGACACCCACGGTACGCCACTGTCTCTCTTACTTATAGTATGGCGAATGCGTAGAACGGCTAAGTGTGCTCATCTCTTGTATGGAGAACTGCGTTGAATCGTATGGCTCTGTCTGTATGGACTGCCGACTAGTATGGCTATCAGTCCGACATCGTATCGAGAACTCCCCCAAATAGTAAGAAAATTGTCCCTTTTATCCTAGTCGACGGCCTACAGCCGGCAAAGTCTCGTGTGCAACCGTTTCTGAATTAACTTAGTACTCATCAGAGAAAGGAAATGAACTTTTTATCAAAGTCGAAAGTTTTTAACATCCATTGATTCGAAAATTTGTTAAAGATACAAAAATTTAATTTCTATTGAAATTTAAATCGTTCTCTCTTTTCCTAATTTCTTTAAAAATAAACCCTCTTNAAATCCATTGATTCGAAAATTTGTTAAAGATACAAAAATTTAATTTCTATTGAAATTTAAATCGTTCTCTCTTTTCCTAATTTCTTTAAAAATAAACCCTCTTTAAATTAATCTGGATTCTCACAATTATTTTCAGAAAGTTTACACCTACAAATTCTGAAAAAATAATTAGACATTATTGAATTCTAAATATTAGATGGCGTCACTTTTTTTTAAATTGGCAGTCAGGACGAACGAAGATCAGCAATGCACCTGGATTTCGTGCAGATTTTGGTTAGAAAAATGGCAAAGTATGTTTTTATTATAAGTAATGAATAGATTCAAAATTGTTTTCTGATGAGCTAAATCTTTTACTAACAAATTGAAGGAGACGTCTCATTTAGGTGTTTAACTGGTGTTCGTTTTTAAGCCATCGTCTTGGGTCGGTTCGTACCTCGTCATAAATAGGTGTAATACACGAATTTTCGCTCGTTACTAGTGACGTATTTCTGTTTTCGTTACAGAAAAAAAGTCGACAGAAGTTTTATTTTACTCTGTTGATAACCCACAATTGTTTGCGTCTGTGAAGACACAGAGGGTGAAGATTGTATTGTCCTTTCAGCCGTACGACGAAATGAATGCAAGCATTTGGAATTCTCGAACACACAGGCAGGTGAGTCCTTTTGTCGACTCTTTGACTGTCGCCATTATATTTCGACAATCAATAGTCTGGGTGTGGATTATTTTAAATTTAATATAATTACCAGTCTTGATAAAAGCAGAAAACCGCGTTGGCGATTTCACCAGAAAAAAAAACAGAAGGAACATTTTAACGAAGCGACAGTAGACTATCAGGTAACATTTAATGAAGTATGGAATTTCCTTGTTCTTGTGGACTGTGTTAACGAGTATTGTGGTATTTTTCCGTGCCTTTCTTGACTGAAGTTTTTTAAAGTAGTAAGTAGATTTTCACTTTTTTCCTAAGGTAATTTTAAGAACAATTTTCAAGAAACGATTGAGTTTGTATAACTTTTACTTCTATAATGAAAGCTGTAAAATAGGAATACCGAAGGGAAGTTAATTGTTCATAAAATACATTTATAACTAATTTTCTTATTATTAAAATTTACAGATAAAACCAATATGAATTTATTTCATACGTATAAATATATTGTTTCTAAATAAGAATTCGTTTCATTTTCAGGTTTTAATCCGAGCCGTAATTTTATGAGCTGAATGAATGTCTAAAGAATAATTTCTAAAATTACTGGTTTAATTTTGAAATATTTACATTTTACTTAGAAAATAATGTGTAACGATATTATCCTATATGATTTTATTCGGGACTTTTTATTGCTTTCAGATACACTAACCGCCAATCAAAAACGTTCCTGTTAACTAAATGAAGAATAGTTTCTAGAAAAACACAAGAATAGTCGATGGATGTGTTGGACTTCCGTCGTTAACGGAACACTGAAATTGAAGCTAGTGTTGGGAAATCATTACAACAATATATCAGCAAAGAAAACATCTTTCATGCGAGTGAAGAAAGAAAAATCAACGAAGATATTTTAAAATTATTTTTCAAATATATATTTTTGTTTTTGCAAAATACACTCCATATAGTTTCCAGAAAAAAANAAGAATAGTTTCTAGAAAAACACAAGAATAGTCGATGGATGTGTTGGACTTCCGTCGTTAACGGAACACTGAAATTGAAGCTAGTGTTGGGAAATCATTACAACAATATATCAGCAAAGAAAACATCTTTCATGCGAGTGAAGAAAGAAAAATCAACGAAGATATTTTAAAATTATTTTTCAAATATATATTTATGTTTTTGCAAAATACACTCCATATAAATTGTTTTCAGAAAAAATGTATAAATTACAATTGTTATTAATTTGAGATATTGTTTAGTGTGTGGGTAATATGTGTGTGAGTAATATGTGTGAATAGTTGGTGTTTCCGGTATAATATTTTCCTTCGTGTAGGTTTAACTTTGAAATTTTATTCAAAGAAAATTACCAGAGAAAGAAAGATTCTTTTTCTATCTGCATCCTAAACATTAACAGTACTTTTAAAATAATGTGATTTAAATTTAGATATTTGATTAAAATTAATTGAATAGTTTTGGTCTTTAAACATTTGTTTTACTATTTTTATTTATCGGATTTTACAGGTTTAAAAATTGAGATGAGAAACAATGGGAAGTATCAATGTGACAGTTGCAAGAAAACATTCATTTCGAAGTTAGGATTTATATATCATCGAAGGATTCACAGTGGAGAAGGACTCTTGTCTTGCAAATTTTGTAATCGTCGGTTCAATCATTCCAGCAGTCTTCGTATGCACGTCAACACTCACACCGGAGAAAAACCCTTTACCTGTGATCATTGCAAACAAAGTTTTGCACATAAAGGAACTCTGATTCGACATCTGCGAACTCACACAGGGGAGAAACCCTTTACCTGTGATCATTGCAAACGAAGTTTTACACAGAAAGGAAATCTGATTGAACATCTGCGAACTCACTCAGGGGAAAAACCCTTTACCTGTGATCATTGCAAACAAAGTTTTGCACATAAAGGAAATCTGATTAGACATCTGCGAACTCACACAGGGGAGAGACCCTTTACCTGTGATCATTGCAAACGGAGTTTTACACAGAAAGGAAATCTGATTGAACATCTGCGAACTCACTCAGGGGAGAAACCCTTTACCTGTGATCATTGCAAACGGAGTTTTACACAGAAAGGAAAACTGATTAGACATCTGCGAACTCACTCAGGGGAAAAACCCTTTACCTGTGATCATTGCAAACGGAGTTTTACACAGAAAGGAAAACTGATTAGACATTTGCGAACTCACTCAGGGGAAAAACCCTTTACCTGTGATCATTGCAAACGGAGTTTTACACAGAAAGGAACTCTGAATCGACATCTGCGAGTTCATACAGGGGAAAAGCCATTCTCGTGTACGTATTGCTTACAAAAGTTCCGTTTTAAAAGTAATTTAAATAGTCATATTATTAAATATCATAGTAACAATGAATAACGCTATTTGTTATGAAGAAAAATGTTAAGAAAAGTATTTATTCGTATTAATATTCGTATTTCGATTTTATTGAATATAAAAACAAATTTTGAAATTTTATTTTTTTATTTTGTAACTTTGATATTGTATATAAAGCAATTGCTTTTATGTACCGAAAGAAAATAGTTTCATTGATTAAAAAGTAATTCTACAAATTTAAATTAATGAATTTCTGATTGAAGATAAACATATTCTTCTATGACAATTTCTAAAGCATATTTTTATAAAATTACTGGATCGTGCTTTAAAAAAGATCGTAATATTGCAATATTTTAACTAACTTTGGTTGAATTTAAATGTAATTCAACACGCCGAATGATATATATCGAACGTGAAATAATTCTTACAAGATCGCTTTATATGTTTCAAACGACAATTCTCAGCTTTGATAAAAATGTGCCCATTGAAAAACCTTTTTTTACTGGTTTCCATTTACCTCCTGTTTGTAAACAAGGCCATCTTATATTTACAACAGCAAAAATCAGCATATTCTTTAACAATTGCAAATTAATCTTAAATGCCGACACCGTTACTCCTTCATACCTTTTTTCACAAATTATTTCAAATTATTTCCTCGTTTTTAATATTTCAAAAAAGGTCAAGAAATTTATTTTGAACTAAATTATTTTAAAATGATTAATTTAATTATATTATATTCGAATAAATTATATTTTTAAATTATACTAAACAGAAATTGATGCTCTACATTTGTAATAAACATGTTTCATTTACATCTGTATTTGATAACATGTACTTAAAGTTTATCGCTGAAATTGTTTGTTACTTATCAGACTTGTGTAAGTGTTTTTCCAACCTTCTTGAATACGCGACCCGTCTAAAAGTTAAAAAATTCTGGCGAACACCCACGGCCATATTAAAACTATGTCAGTGATTTTAAAAACTTACTCAGCAAATAATTAATCGATATACTATCAATAAATCTACTACGCAATTATTACTGTATCTGATACAATGAAACTAAATGAGCTATCTACTAACTCACTAATATGAAGTATTTAATTTAGAACATTTTCATACTTGTCTAGCCATCGACAGTTTCGAATTAGAGTATTAAAATATTATTTACAGTTATTTAATTAAAACACTCGTAGATATAGTAGGCCCTAGACATATTCGAACTGGCCACACGCATTTTCAGGTGTATATTATAAATTTACATTTTCATATTTGTCTAGCCATCGACAGTTTCGAATTAGAGTATTAAAATATTATTTACAGTTGTTTAATTAAAACACTCGTAGATATAGTAGGACCTAGACATATTCGAACTGGCCACACGCATTTTCAGGTGTATATTATAAATTCACATATTAATAATACATAAAATATATATATTTTTGATAGGGTTCAATATTTTACACGAATTTCCGTTTACACGAAAAGCCTTGAAACTGCCTTGAAATAACACTGCACTAGACGACCAGTGCGATCGTCTATTGCAGTGTTATTTCTAACATTTATATAGTCTATAAAAAAACAAGAGCCGCATATTAATCTGCGATGTTAGCGATGGTTAATAGTGCTTTTANATATGCCACTCTCAAATATATTTCTGAATATAGACTAAAGTTTTTCAAATAAAATGGTCTGAGCAGGATGGACATTGGATGCTGTTCAGAAAGAATCAATACACACTTTCTTTTACCAAAATACCCAAAATTGAAGAAAATCGTTGCTATCGACCTAGAATCCAGTATCATCGAGTATGCCCGAAATGTATATTTTGGAGAAAAAAACTGAATACAAAACACGACAAATTTAACCTTAATTTTGCAAAAACAACGATAATTTAAATTTCGGTGATAAACAAACACAAATTAGTGAATTATATTACGAATTTCCAACCAAACTAACTCTTTTCTAGTCATAGAAATTAACTTTTCTTACATAAATGTAAGGAATTATTTTAGGATTTCCAATCATCAGTATTGATTCATTAAAGTAAAACAATTACTTATAATTAATTTTCTGTATATACAATTTCTATTAAAGATACAGGTATTAACATACAGAATAGATAAAAACCGTAATTTGAAATAGTACAAACACAAAAATAAATTAAGGCAAAAAGATGTTTTTTTTTTCAAATCAAAGATACCTTCACGTCTGAAGTCAAACATGAAAACATGCCTCATGAATCTGATAAGAATATGTACACGGCTGAATAAATTAAGTTAAAACGGGTCAGAATATGTCTGAGAACATCTGTAAACGCTGTGTTTATATCTTTGACCTCCACTGGTGTTTTCGTTATTTGCTATCTACGATTTAATTAACGTTATCGATTTGTATTTTGCCTTTTCAATACGTCATGATTTACTTATATAATTAAGGGAACGTTGAACTTTAAATTTTTCTTATTAAAAAGTTTAAAATAATAAATATTTAATTTTAATTAGAAAATGTTCATATTACTTTTCCACCTGTTATGTATACAAAACAAGGGAAAGAAAGTATTGGAATTGTGTCAAGTTTGACTTTCCGAATTTTTTTTTAAATCCGTACATTTTTGAGATTCTTTGAATTAAAAAAAAGTAAGAAAAACAGAAAAAGTTTTGTGGATACATATGTATGCATGTGAATGTGCTTTGGCGTGTATTCTCAGGCCGCTAGTATAGAGTAGGGTATGTCCATAATAAAATAGAAGAGCCCATACGACGTTCTTGTGAAAAGTTAACCAGAATGCCCGAATCAGTGCGAATGTTTGCAACGATCGCAAGGATTGCTGACAAATGCAAAAGAATAAAATTTTAAGTTTTTCAAAAATAACTAACAGCACATAATTCCGTGTACGCTATACAGTGTTATTATCGAGATGATGATCGCTGATCATAGGCCGTTGATAGTTTGGGGGTCGTCTCATAGCACAGATATATGCTAAAACTATAAAACTTCGACGAAAATTTATACCTCGTCTTATCCTCGTATTTATTTTGACTAATAATACAAATCTTATTTTTAAAATAAAATTTCATAAAAGCCGGTAAAGTTACGCAACTCGTTACTAGATTTAGAGAAAAGAGGAAAGTATTTTACTTTGGTTCTATAACAGTTAAAAACATTGTTATGTTTAGGTGTTCGTTGATTTAATAATTTTTTTTTTGCAGAATAACTAAGAATGATGCATGTGTAAAATCCGCGAATTTAACGCAGTTGTCGAAAAAAATTTTAACAACTCCGATAGAAAAAACGGTCCTGGTGAGAATTAAATTGGAGGTCACCCTTTGTTATCACAATTAGATGGAAAAGTTGACATATAGGTAGTAAGAATGCACCGTTATCGTCAACATGTAACGATCATGTGACTGCTTTCCCACGGCAACTGAATAAAAGCTCGAGTCTTGGAAACACAGGGCGCGTCCTCACACGAAAGTTATTTCTGTACTTGTGTCAGTCGATCTCCACGGAAAGGAATCGGATGCCGTCGGAGAAGACACCGGACAGAAGACACCAAGGACTACTATCTCTTCCATAAAGACGATGCGCCAACTCTCCATTACTCTGAGAGGTATTTAGGGGTTAAGGCTTGTCCTGAAGATCTCTTCTTCTACTGTATTATTTTAGATGTTTTTTTTTGTGTGTTTTTGATTGCGTTATAATAAGGTGCGTACACTAAAAAGGGATTTTTCGTAATTNAGACGATGTGCCAACTCTCCATTACTCTGAGAGGTAATTAGGGGTTAAGGCTTGTCCTGAAGATCTCTTCTTCTACTGTATTATTTTAGATGTTTTTTTTTGTGTGTTTTTGATTGCGTTATAATAAGGTGCGTACACTAAAAAGGGATTTTTCGTAATTCCCCCCGGGGAGAGGTTTTTAATGCTTTTTCCCGCGGTGGGTAGTGTTAACAATGGAAGTGTTAATCTATAATATCTAGGGTGGCGAAGCTCCTTGATAGTCCGAGCCATTTTTCAAAATTAAAATTTTTCGCGAGCCGCAATTAAATACGTATTAAAAAGGTATGCAAAAAATTCCAGATTACAAATTATATCCGTAGCAAGAGTGATACAAATTGTTTCTTCCAGAGCACAATGCCAACTGTCCTTGCAATGACAGTTTACAAATTCAAAATCGGTCTGGAGTCGGTCAATAACGGACGATTACGTCACTGTTTATGTTCGTTCGCGCAGTTTTCGATGAGTCATATCATTCTTAACTTGGACGGAAATGAAGTTTGTTACAACGTTGCACTTAGTCTTTCATATTTGTTGTTAGTAATTTAAAAAAACATTTTGAAACACATACAGAACGATAATAATTTTTTAAAAATATAATAACACAAAAATGAAAAGGGAACTCAGGTACATTTATCGAGAGCCACAAATAATCCTTCAAAGAGCCGCAGGTTGGCCACCCCTGATCTATATATATAAAAATGAATGTCTGTCTGTGTGTCTGTGTGTCTGTCTGTCTGTCCTTAATGCATTACCACACCGTTTATCCGATTGCCGTGAAACTTTGGGAAGTTGTTTAATATACTCCGGCGAAGGTTTGTGGCATAGTACATTTATCCTATGGCGCGCGTTTACACGAGCATTCGAGCACAGTATGTTCGATCGATTTCAAATTGTGAAGACCATTTCCCCCTTCAAAAAATATCGTGTATCCACAAACACTCCAATAAATAAATAGAATTGAAACGACACTTTGAAATGTTTTCCCGATGAAAATGAATAATAATAATAAGTTTCAATAAAAATAATAAAATGTAAATTGAATTTTATCATAACGAGTTTGCTTGAATTTCCTTTCTTCTGAAATCGTAGCAATGCGCGACGGGTAAGCTAGTTAACAATAAAAGTGTTAATAGAAAGCGGCGTGCAAGATGAACGGCGCAGATGCGTTTTTTTGCTTTTTTCGGGAAATTTAACATATTTATAGACCCATCTAAAAGTTCTCTAATTGGTCTGGGATATTAGGCTCCGCTGGAGGCAGCAAGTAA